AAACATCGTATGAACACTGTGATGATACAGCTAGAGGAGGTGGAGAAGGAGCGAGATCAGGTATCTGCATTTAAAGGATGTGGAAGGGTAAAGGGCAAATTAGTAGCCTGTATCTTTTGTGTGTCACTTCCTGGCAATTGAGGGTAACTGGACCCAAAATGCCATTAAAAATACACAGTTACAAGAAGTTACTGTTTCCTGTAATTTGTATAAATGTAATTAATCGCAGGATAATATTGTGCAGATTCCACAGTGCAGTATCTTCCAGACAGGACCAAGTTCTTAATAACAACTGCATAGGCTGTATATTAGAGTCAAGGAATTCTATTTGCTCTCTGGAGTGTATTGCTACCAACTAAGAGGAGGTAGAAACGAACTTCCTCCAACACCAATAATTTTTAATGGTAATACTATGGCAGATCTTGGTTCTAATTGGTGTGTCGATGGATGGGTGCCTGTCCTGAATCCCTGTTTCAAGAACCCTACAATCTAAACTACAAGGGACAGGTATCTGCTGCCTGTGCAGAACAGGCTTCTCCTCTCCACTGCAGGCGTTCCGTTCCCGTGATGAGGCTCAGACACAGTACTCGCAGTGTCTGATTGAAAAGGATAAATACAGGAAGCAGATTCGAGAGCTGGAAGAGAGGAACGATGAATTCCAAATTGAAGTGGTTCGGAAAGAAGCTTGCATTGTTAACCTAGAGTGCAAACTCCGACGTCTCTCCAAGGACAGTAACTTTCATGACCAGGTAGGGCTGAGGAAGTCTGACGTAGGTTCTTTCCAAAAAAAAAATATTTTAATATGAAGGGGAGAGAGGACTGTTGAAATTCCCCTCATGAATTAGGTGAAATAATTACTTTCTTCTATTAAATGTCAATGTTGTGAGAAGTTCTTGAGTACAATGGGATTTGAGTTGGCTGTGTCATGCACAGATCTTCTCAAACAATGGCATTCCACAGCTTGATGTTGGATCTTAGGTGGAAGGAAATAAAATACAGAAAGGCAATGAATTTCTCTTCTGGGATAGAAACTACAAATACATCTTCTAAGGAATGTGACCCAGTGAACAGAAATCTCCACAGAATCAATCTGAGTTACTAGTTTGGGACAGAAAATGCATTTTGCATAAGCTTTGGGGCTACTGGATTCACAGGCACTGCAACCAGATTACACCAAAGGGATGTCTTGAGGGGTTAAGCCCAGCTCTTCTGAGAAGTAAAACATTTCCTTCTGCTTTATAGAGTTTGCCACGGAATCTGCCAATTACCATTATTTCCCAGACCTTTGGGGCTCCCAGCCCAAAAGCCAATGGTCAGGAAGCAGACGATTCCTCCACTTCTGAAGAGTCTCCAGAAGACAACAAATTCTTCTTGCCTGATCAAGCTCGACTCAAGAGAAGAGTGAACCTAAAGGGAATCCAGGTGTGTCTTAATATGAGGCTGAAATGGTGTAATTGGGGACTGTTAGAACTAAAAGACATACTGCATATTGTTGTGCCTCTAAAAACGTTGCATTATAAAGACAGGCATAGGTTTAGATACGATAACGAGCTGTCAGTTATTGCTCTGGGAAGATTTGCATACTGGGAAGCATATGTAATCAGGCTTCATCTCTTCAAGCATCTTCATTAAATTGATTCTTTGCCCTCTTAACAGTAAGGAGGTATAATGCCCAATGTCCAACACACAAGGACTTGAAGATTGAAACAGAAGCATTGGCGGAACAGCTTACATCAGCTGGAAGGAATAATAGAAAAAAATGGACAGAGTCTAGAGCAAAATTAAGTGCCTAATTTAGAATTAAATTATGGCAATTTCTTCTCACTTAAGGGTAGCATGAGTTAGGTCCTTGATTTCACTGACTGGCTGCATTTGTACAGCTATTATCTGGTACTATGTTCATGAATTGTAAAAAATACACAGTCTAACAATCAGAGTTTTGAACTCCTGTTTTCTTTCATGGGCATTTGAATTCTCCCTGCTCTTCATAACCTTTCTGAGCTTTGACTGTCATTATTACTTATGGCAGTAGAGTTGCATTTTTTACCCTGTACACTCCAAAAGGATGCTTGTTCTATTAGCAGCTGCCTGAAACCAGTCCCAAGGCACCAACTTCACCTTTTGTCTTTTTGTTCCCTTTGCAGTATCTGAAAATTGTAATGCATTTGGGCCAGACTTTTAAGGTAGCTAGGTAGCACTCTGCCATTTCCTGCAGTGGAATTTAGATACCTAAATATCTTCTAAATTGTGGGTTACATTGTTTAAATGAGGACATATATATTACAGCATAAGAATGAAAAGTGGTGAAAATATCATTTTACAGAGTATGGCAAATGTCCTGCATTTGACTTTTTCTTTGTTTTCTCCTCTTTCTTTTAGATAAATCCAAGAGCTAAATCTCCTGTCAGTATGAACAAAACATCAGAGTTTCAAGGTCAGAAAGAGTACCCCGTCTCTATTCCTTTTCTGTTGCTTTGTCTCCTCCACTCCATCTCTTTTGGTTGTTTTAACAAACATGCCAGCACAGGAAATTCTTAACTAAGTTTGAGTCTCTAAAATGTACAATTTCCTTTCAAGTGAATAATGTCATAATTTGAAGTAGTCTCCCTGGTTGTTCTCTCCATCCAAAGATACCTCCACAGACACGTAACTTATCTCAATGTTCTGTTTGCTCAGTTTTCCTTTTAGTTTATAAATTCACAGATATGCAAATGTAGATAGTTTGCTCAGTTTTCCTTTTAGTTTATAATTTGCAGATATGCAAATGCAGAGAATTTATCTGCATTAAAAGCCATTATACTATTCTCTTTTTGCTGCAAGAAAAATCCTTCAAGCTGGAGAGATCCCTAATCTAGTGGTTATCTAATGACTTCCTTTGCCATTCAACAAAAAGAAATTCATTTTTATTTGAAAGTATTGCGAAGGTTGAGGTTTTCTTGACACACCCATCAGAGAGCTGCCAAGTTACCAAATTAGTGGGTGTATACTCGTGTTTGAGCTTCCCCTAATTTCTCTCATTTATTTAAGCCTGTTCTTAAACAACACAACATATACCTGCCCAGACAGGCTCTGGAAGCTCCTTCTCTGGAGATCTTCCAAACTCTCCTGGATGCCACCCTGTGCCAGGTGCTCTGGGTGTCCCTGCTGGAGCAGGGGTTGGACTGGATGATCTCTAGAGGTCCCCTCCAACCTCAGCCATTCTGTGATTCTGTGATAAGCAAACACGTATTTGTTATGTGCTGCAGCATGCTCACTGCTGTACAAAATATGATGGGAGGCATTGCTTCTGTTCAAATACATTGAATAGTATGTTTTATATCAGGGAATGTGCAAACTTAGCCTAAATTGGAGATTCTGAGGAAGGGAAAGCAGAAGTCCACATGAGCATCCACAATGCTGCTTGGGGCTGCTGAGATCTCAGGCTAGTTAGTTGCTGTGTGAGTGTAATTCAGTGAGCAATCCTTGCAGACTGCCAGATCAAGCTGATGAAGTTAGAACATGAATAAGTATAGCAATCTTTATTAAATTTGGTAATTGGTATTCACAGATCTAATAAAAAAATACAGGAGAGGATGAAAGAGAAAAGGTGGGCAAGAGGCTCTGCAGTGTCATGAGCACTTCTGTATTTGCTTGGAGGACTGAAAATGAAGAAAAAGGGACCAGAGTAGGAAAGTAGAAGGCATTTCCTGAAACTTCTCTCCAGGAAGGAAGGAGGGAAATTTGATAAATAGGGTAATGCTAAATGTCATTGCAAAACTGAAAGACTGTATTGAAAGTGATCTAACATAATTTTCTTTTTTTTGCCTCTCATTTGTGAGTGCAGCAGTTAGAGCACACGATGAAGACGGGGCTGATGCCAGCAGTGGCCGCACAGATACTAGTTCCTCTAATCCTGTTTCCATCAGTAACTCCATCAGCAGCTGTGAAGTCAGCAAAATTGTAAGGAGTGTTGAGATGCCCCTTGCCTGTCTATGACCTTCTCTCTGAATGTGGTTCAGCGCTCTTGCAACTCAGTATTAGCACTTCACTAGCATCCCAGCTGTGATCAAATTCAAGGCTGTTGCCAGAAGCTCCCTTAATCCTTTTACCAGCATTGTTCGAACCATGTTATTAACCTTTTCCAAAATCACATAACTGGTTTGTGTTTACTTAAAGATATTTCAAAGGTATTTATGACCTCTTGCTGTCTTTTCATGCTGTTTAACATTTACAGTTGGAAGGAAGAGATGTTCTTTAAAAGCTGCTTTGTCATTTATTTTAAGAAGCATTTTCAAAGTTCTTTTGGAATTTTTTTATGACAATTTATAAGTAACAGTGAATCAGAAAAGGGGTGCAGATCACAGCTGAAAATTTCTGCGTACCGTGGCCAAACCATTTCTCCCCTGCCTGCTGCATCCCCATAATCTCTCAACGCAGGTATTCCATTATACCTGTGTGAGCACTGACACAGCAGGACAGGCAGACACAGAGAATGCTCTTGCAGAGTGTTAATAACAAAGAAAAATACGTCTTGCTAGAACACCGTGGGAAATGCTGCCCCCAGGAAATGAAAATTACACCCAAGAATAGTCAGGGAAGAACTCCCTGCCTCTCATGATAAGCTTAGCTGTTTTTAGGAATGTTCTTGAAATATCTGTTGGGTGTCTTAATGAATTACACTTCCTTCATGGTAGTAAAATCTGGAGTTTAGTCTCCAAACTGGTGTACTAAGTTAATAATTGAGTACATGGAGATCTCTGATATTATTACTCATTCTTTAACTCCTACTGTATGTGAGCTGTGCAAAACATACTCTACAAATAAAGAATAAAGTTAAAATTCTTCTGTAAAGCAACCAGTCTTGTGATCACTGGAAAAGATTCCATGCCAGCACAGAAAACAGATGTATAGCTACAACAGTGATCTATGTCAATATGAATGCTCTTCTGTGTAGCAGTCTATTCTGTGTTTCTTAATGTTGGATAAGCTTCTTAGCCCAGAATACCACTAGCGAGCCAGTGAGTTAACTTTTCAGCAGTTTAGAAATGATAGTGCACCTGACATGAACATCCTTTCTGTCCCTGTTGCTTTTTAAAAGCAAACCTTGAGAAGTCGCAATGACAGTATCATGTCCACCACGCCGGAGCCTCCAGGAAATGACTCGATAGTCCGACGCTGCAAGGAGGACGCTCCTCACTGCAGGTAGGTGAAACATGGCAGGAGCCTCTTGTCACCAGGAGATGTCTTTGTGTCTGTCTGCAGCTCCAGAGTCTCTTTTAGGCAGTAGGACATTCATTTTCAAAAACACCCAGGAGCCTCTGATGGTTCGTTTGGGTGAATGATACTGTGATATGATGGCATCATTGCCTTTTCTAGGTGTGAAATGACAAACAATACTGAAATGACTAAGCACCAACGCTGTTATAGAATATACTCTTATCTTTGTAGTCTGAATGGCTTTTGCTTGCCAGCCCCATGCTGCCCGCATCTCTGTCCCTGTCCTTGTCCCCTTCTCTCAAACCAAACTTCTCTTTACCAAAGTGCCAAAATGGAGTGAAGTTGCTGAGTATCCGTGAGGACTGGGGTGTCCAGGGGCGACAGAGGGAGGAATTTTTGTTGAATTCAGAACTCTAACTCATCAGGGTGATGTGGGGAGAGATTTATTGCTGCTGTTTCTCCTGCTATTGCTTCTGCTAGGGCAGGAGTCCACTTCTGTTCAATCATGGACCTCCAATACTTCTCCTGTAAATGAAATCAGATCAGTGGGGGAAGATAGTGGCAGGGAGGAGAGAGATCTCGCCTACCTCAGCATCCCCTAAAAAGCACTGATCCCTTTCTAAATGTTTTATAACACTGCAATACTTGGTAATATTGTTTTGGTGTTGGTGTCAATAGCATCAGTGTTTGCATCAGAAACAGATATTTCTGATATCGAACTAGTCAGCAGATGAAAACACACCCAGAAAGACTGTCATAAAAACAAAACACTCTCTCTCCATTCCTGTCAGAGAAAAGAATAAGAAAGCACAAGTAAACAAATCTAATCCTCTAAATGTAGAGGATTTACGGATTTATTAGTACTTTTCAAACCAAACTCATCTCTAGCAAACTGTCACTTTCACCTCTCTTTCTCTGTGTAAGTATTTGCAAGGCAGCTTTCCACTGAGAGCATCCTCAGCTCCTTCACAATTTTCCAGCCTGATGAGGTTTTAGGCAAAGTGATCTATTCTAGTCTCCTTGGAGCCTTCCTGCATTGTCCTCCAAGGCCCTTTCTAAGTGGGTATAAATAGTGTTAATTCAAAATGGAAAATATAAGGGTTGTTTTGTTACTTATTTTTTGTGTTTTATATTTCAGTTCGAAAAACCTTTGCTTGCCTGAACATTTAAATATTAGCAGTATATGACAGAAGGCATGAAAGGTTACACAGGTATTTTTCATTTTGTGGCCTTCTGTTACTACAGCTCTGACTATGTCCTGTTCCATATGTTAAGGCATTGGAAGACTGAGAGGTACTGAAGTTTAAAAATACACCTTATACTAGATGGTCTTTCCCTCTGGCAAGGGGAAGGAGAAGGTACCCTGGCTTAGCAAGGTGGGAATATGGCTTTATTTTATTAATAATTGCTCAAGTCAGATATCTCTAGAACATGTCCCAAAGTGAATTCTCTGTAGTTTATAATTTATAATTAGCTTGCTAAGTTTTTTAAAAAGCTTTTTGTGAATGTAGTCCAAAATAATTCCTATTTGCATGCCAAGTTTCAGGTTTCACAGTTCATCTGATTTTGTTTTGTGTGGAAAAAAATAATTTAATACAGTAGGAAAAGATGTATTTTTTCCTTGCTTATGCACAGTATAAAAATAGCTGATTCTCCACAGACTTACTGCAAAAAATCATCCTTCACCTGAAGCCAAATATGCAGAGTATCAGCTCCACAGGAGAACTACAAATCATTCTGAATGGGAAAAAACAGCAGTTGTCATTTAAACGGCTTTGCAACTAAAGGACATGCTTTAATTGATACCTTCTAGTGAAATTCACTTGGCTGGACATCCCTGACTTCCCCTTAAGGGCAGAAATTGGTGCATTTTAACTGTTTTTATAGGCCAAGCAACCTAGTCACTTTTAAAATTAAAGGTTGTAGCTCACTGATGTCATTGGGAGCTGGACTGGGGCCAGAGCTGCGGAAGAAGAGTTTCAGTGCAAAGCTTGGTACACCACGCTGGTCTGTTCCTGCAGGCACCCGAGTGCTGTAGGTACCTGAGTACCTACTGTGAGACACCGTTAAGCTGCTACAAAACGCATCAAGTCCTTTAAATCAAGCAGATAAATTATTCCTCTGCTGCTACGCCTCCTGACATTCACTGTGTCCATCCTGATATTTTAGATCTGTAGTGGAAGAAGCCATGCTGCAGTGTACAGCAAGTGTTACACAACCATTATACCATTTTATTTTAGTGCTGAAGGTGTGCAAGTCACCCAGAGGAGACCATCAGTCATCACCCTCCTTTGCCTTCAGCAAAATCTTTACTCACTCGCTGCTGCCAGCGCTTCCTTCTGGGGAATCTCCTTGCCCCTTCGCCTGCCCATTCCCATACAGACCGACACGTGCTGTTTTCCTGCCACCCTCTTTCTTCTCCCCTGGGCCCACAAACATGTCACCAGTGCTTATTTATTTTGCATCTAAGTAGCTGCTTTGTTCAACACCTCCAACATCCTCCTTTTTCACAGATTCCTCCTTCAGAACTTAATGAAATCTGCTGAAAAGTGGAAGGTGGGCCTCTTTCTCTCTTTCATTGACCCGTGTTTTGTTTTTAATTCCAGCCTGGCTGAAGAAGACAATGACAGCTTTGGATATGATACTTTGGAGCTAGATGGTAAGCAAAAGCATATCATGTCTATCGTTTAACTATGACATGTGATTACCAGCCTTAAAATAGGGAAGGGAGGAAGGCATCAAACTGAGAGGAGAAGGGGTAGAGAGGACAGAGCCAGACTCCTGCCGTTGATGCTTAGTTAAAGGGCAAGACACAAGAAGCACAAATTGAAACACACAAACTCAAATTTAAGCAGAAGAAAAGGCCTTTTTCACTGTAAGGGTGGTCAAACACTGAAACGGGTGGCCCAAAGAAGTTGTGGAGGCCTCCATCCTTGGAGATATTCCAAACCTGACTGGACGAGGCCTTGAACAATCTCCTCAGCTGACTGCTTTCCCCCTGGTTGCACTAGACAGTCTCCAGAGTCTTCCGACCTCAGCTGTTCTGTGAGAGGTCAGTGAGCAAGACTGGCCTTCCTTGCTGTGCTCTGGAGACATTAAGTCATTCCTCTGCATTAGGAATGCCCCCGTTAAGCTTTGGTTGGGTTAAGCTAGACCTTTTCCTTGTCTTTGTCACTGTATTTAGGACTTGTTTTTGTTACCTTTTCCAGATGACAGTCATGACAGACACTCCCACGGAGCTCCATCAGTGCACTCTTCCTCTTCTTCTCATCAGTCGGAAGGCCTGGATGCCTATGACCTTGAGCATGTCAGCTCCATATTCAGAAAGTTCTCCCTGGAAAGGTATCTGAGATGCGAGTTTAACGGCTTCAGACTGCAATGGAAGGGAAAGGCCATTGCAGTAGAGCTCACCCATTTATCAGTTGCTGAAGATACAGGGGCAGGAGTATCATGTCACAAGCTGTTTGACACACATCTCATGATACTACGTTAAGTCTTTACTTTCTTATGTCTGCAGCAATATAATGTGTTATTATGAACTCCTTCCATAGTCTGTGATGCAGTGAAGTAATCTTAAAATCTCAAACACTTCAGACAAAATATTTTAGAGGTTTAAATGTATTCCTGTGATCTTGTTATCATGCTGCCATACGTGGGGTGCTACTGTACATCTGATTTATACAGTCAGAGCAGCTGAAAGTACCCAGATGCTCTTCTCCAGAATAATGTTTTAAGTAATGAGAAAGATTTCTCCTGCAGTCCTTATATTCTGCAGTTTGGTAACATTAAAAGTTCATTTATGTCTCACACTTATCATGCATACATTTAACTCTGGACTGGTTGCTACAAGCTGAGGTACTTGTCTAACTGTAACTTCCTTTCATGAAAGCAGACCTTTTCGTCCCTCCGTCACATCCGTTGGCCGCATCAGAAACTCCTGCTACACCATCCAGCGTGTCACATTGAATGGAGACAGCCTCAACTCGGAAATTACCCTGGTTGGCGGGAATGACAAAGGGAGCTTTATTAGCTCTGTCAAGACAGGATCACTTGCAGAGAAAGCAGGTCTTCGAGAGGGACACCAGCTCCTTCTGGTAAGCACACAGCAAACAGTACAAGTCCTGTGTGTACCTGCATGATGCACACTCATAAAATACTCTTGCTTCTTACTTTCAGTTTGTATTAATGACAAAACATATGACTCCTGCAGAAGAAAATCTGATATTGACTGTGAAAATACAGAGGAATAATATTTATTTTCTGCCAACATGCACACATCTTTGCACTTCACAGTAACTCCGAATGGAAGAGATTAGAGGAAATTCTTTACTGCTGTCTCTTGTGGTACTACTGCCCCTTTGAAATGCTAGAAAGGGAGTTGCTCTCAACTTGCCAGTAGTAGTCTGCCTGAAAGGAGTTCGTGCTACTTAAAATGACAGTTCCTGACCCATTTCTTAGAGTGGCTTATTCCACAGCTGGGCATGTTGTGGGGCAGAAAGAGATACAGCTGCAGTGTGAATGGAAGAAGGGCTGCACCATGCAAGCGGGAGTTAAATGAAGCTGTTGATAAGTCATTGCTTACCTAGGATTTTTCCTTCATTCCAGATGTTCCCAAACTATTTTTTTTTCCTGTTAAAGAAGGAAATCTGCCACCAATGCTTTCTCCTGCCCCCACCAAATTTCTCTTAGAGGGTAAAAAAGTCATTCCTGCACGACTACTTCTGCAGCCTCCTACTGAGAAATCTGGGATTATCAAAGAGCTGCTATTCTATTGCCTGCCTGTTTTCCTAATTGGAGAGAAATTAAATCTAAACATAATATCTGCCTCCTATAACAAAGTATCTGGATTGCAGGATCAGGAAAAAAACACTATCTGCAGCCATAAAAAAGTGGTATAATTGACTCAGAGATTAAACCCATGCTGGAGAATAATATTTCTTTCATATCTAGTTCGAGGGCTGCATCAAAGGGGAAAATCAGAGTGTTCCCTTGGATACTTGCACAAAGGAAGAAGTTCACTGGACAATTCAGAGGTGCAGTGGTCCAGTCACACTCCAGTATAAATCAAATCATGAAGGTAAGACCAAAAGTAGGTCTATTGTAAGATGTATTGTGGGTGGGAACAACGAGACCAGAATACCTTTGAGAGGGTATTAATTATACTGGTATAAAGCTGAAGCAAGTCTGCTGATGTTACATATAGCTACTGTACATAACAGCACCATGTTTTAGTGTAACTGAGAGCAAAAATAGTGCATACAATTGTCAGTTCAGGAATTTGCAGAACTTAGATGGTGGGCCGATAAATACATGACTCTCAAAACACACTCAGACTTATCTTTATATGCTGTTTCCACAGTAAAATGTGGCAAGCTGAATCATCTTTTATTGAGCTGAGATTTGATTTAGCATTTACATGCTGGAGTTTCCCTGTTTATTACCTTTGTGGCTTTATCTTTAGCAGTTTGAGTTCATGCATGGTGAACAGAATTTGATTTTAGTGTTCCTGTCTTGTAATGTTAATTTGGTGTTACGGATCAAAAATTACACCCCAAAAGGCACTTTTAACTGATGCAAATATATTTTCCTTTTTCTTTTTTTTTTTCTTTTTTTTTTAAAGGCTGGTTAGAGAATTCCAGCTGCACAGATCACACAGGGAATGATGTCTTTGATTTCCTTTGATGTTTTCAAAGGTAGCAAAGAATATTGAAAGTTTTTTGGAGCATCACTTTACTGCAGATAAGAGAATGTTATATAGATTGTGGGAATGCCAATTAGAGCTAATAATAAAGTGAATAGCATGTCATTTAAATAGTTGAGAGAACTCAAGCTGTATTTATATGATGGAGCTCTAGCTGCTCTATCTGTATCTTTACTGAAAAGTTTTGTTTTATGTTTCATCCGTGTGTAGCATTAGAATTGAGGTTACATAAAGGCATCACTACATGGGGATCCTCACAGACCCCAATACCTACAGCATGACCTGTTCCTAAAGCAGTGCCCCGTTCGTGTCTTTAAGCTGCAGCCCCATAACCGTGTGTAACTGTTGTAAACAGCATTCTAGAAATATGGGCCATTTCTCAGGGAGTCTTAGAATATCTGTGCCATGCACTTCTCCCATAGGACTCCTGGGAGTGCAGAAATACTGAGGTTTTGACTACTGGCTACTCATGTTTGGTCTCTTCTCTTATTGCTGCAGGTTACCGGAAACTGCTGTCAGAACTGGAAGAAGGGCTTATCACATCAGGGGACTCGTTTCATATCCGCCTGAATCTGAACATCTCCAGCCAGCAGGACTGCTGTTCCCTGTCGGTGAAATGTGATGAGATTGTACATATTCTTGACACCATGTATCAGGGGAAGTGTGAGTGGTTGTGTGCCAGAGTTGATCCTTTCACAGACAGGGATCTGGAAACAGGGACCATTCCCAGCTACAGCAGGTGAGTGTAATGCGGAGTGACCATGAGTGGGAGTAGTGGTTCTGGAAACAAGAAAATTAACTCCTATGAGGAAAGAGTTGTATCTGTCAGTGTTAGGTAAGGCCTGATGATGTTAAATTGCAATATGAGCTTTAAGGTTTTAGATAGGAGACTCCAGATGATACCAGAAGGAGCAATATAGGTTTCTCAAAAAGCAGGATAACAAAATATACCATAGAGATTATTTACTCCTTAATAGCACTGTATTCTTGCTCATTATTTTGTTCTTCTTTACTGTGATTCAGTCAGTCCTCACTGCTATTTCTGTTTAATCTTTTCTGTGGGCACAGACCCATTGCAGTCTAACCTTCTTCCAAGCGGTTTCAAGTTAATCTTGATCTGTATGATTCCATTTTTTCTTTTAGAGCCCAGCAACTTCTTTTGGTGAAGCTGCAACGGTTGATGCACAGAGGAAGCAGGGATGAGACAGAAAGCTCACATAATACGCTTCGGTCACTGCGGGTAAGGACCTATAAACAGGGTTGTTTCACCATCTATGACTTGGTTGCTGTTTGTTGTTCTGTGTGTTAATTTTGCATGAAATTCTTGTTTACTCTCTTTGTATGTTTTGATCATTCCAAGAAGGGTCTGTTTGCTGTAAATAATATTGTCCCCAGCAGTGGATCTAGCTCCAGCAAATTTTTAACCCTTCCTACTTTGCAGGAGTACTCTTTGGAAGCCTAATATCTGCTCTGCATGTAGTTAATCTCTTTCTTTCTCCTCTGCCTGTAAGCCTCTAACACATGTTCACATCTACACAAGGAAGAAGCTGTGTCCTTGGAGTTAATAACCAGAATTCTCTCCTACAGTGAACAAGCAGCTAATCCACAGAGCTATCATTGTCCCATATTAGAATTATCTGTCTCCTCCAAACTACAGGCTATGCAGAGAAGTGGGATTATCAGGTCTTTGTGCACAACAGCCCTGCCAATTTCTCCTTTTCCCTCAGTGAAAGTAGCATGATTTTCCCTTCTATAACCCAAGGATTTCTTTCTTTATACAATTAAAAATTAGCTTACTGATGTATTAGTTACCATGTATTCTTCCTAGAACTCTTAGTAGCCCTTGGGACCACAGACAAATATGCTTCCAGCACTGCAGAGACACCGTAGCCACTGCTTGTATTTGATCTCCATCAAGGTTAAGTGTCACGCAGTCCTCCTGCACTCCAGTCCTCGCTGATCAAAGAGAAAGGGATAACTGGCAGAGACACTAGTGAAAGCAAAAGCTTTGCCTGCGATTTCTCAATGCAGAAATTACCTCTTTCATAAACTCTGGAGTGCCATTTCCTATGAGGAAAGGAATGTGAAAGAACAGTAGCAGAAGCAATATTTCTCAGCACAGGCAGTGTTATGGCTGTAGTTTGCTTAGAACATTGTGGAATGCATTATTTGGGAAGTTGTTCATGAATTACTTTTCTTTTTATTGGAAATAGTAAATATCTTCTTTTGCTTCCTCTGTTTCTTGGATGTTGTAATTAAAAAAAAGGGGAGGAGAGAAGGAAAAATCCTTGTGTTTATTTTACTAGAACACACTGCAAACAGAGGAGCCGGCCCCACAGAATGATCCAAAATCCAGCCCTCGCCTGTCCCGAGCAAGCTTTCTTTTGGGCCAAATCTTACAGGTAATAAAGCTCAAGTCCTCAGTAGGGTGTCTGAAATAGTAGATCCAATTAGTGGATAGTCTCAGGCTATGACAGTCTCCCCAGAAACTCCACCTCAGCTGTCAAGGTTGTATCAGGGTTTCTTCCTATCAAAAAGAGATTTAATAAATGAAAAAGAGGAATGGATTGTGTTTTCTAGCTGCTCTTGAGATATAGGGTGTTTGTTTTTAGGTACATTCCTTCCATTAATAGTATAACCTTGATGATCAAACGTGTCTCCCTTCAGAGGCTGAAATATATTTTGTCTGAACCATAAGGACAAATGCATTTGGCTAGGCCAGATCCCCAATGATGGGAGCTTCCATCAAAAAATAGTACTTTAATTGTAGGTCAGTGACTCTGAGTGCCACAGAGGGTATCGAGGTGAAGGATAATAAAGACGTGTGAAGGAAGATGAAGGTTGTGAGGTTAGCAAACATCCAGGAGGAGGAACTAATGTTTGGATAGAGGAATAGCTGGGCGGATGAGGAATCAAGGCCTGAGGCATTTCTCCGTGTAAAAATCTGCCATTTAGGAGGTTTTGAGTCTCAGTGGTGCCATGAAGAAGGGGCAGAGCTCCGGGTATAATCTGTAAAATTGATGTGCTACTGCTAAGGGTGGGTATGTTGCTCTGCTGTGAATACATCAGTGCTTGCACTGTTGATACCAGAGCTCTGCAAAGATAAAGAATATGCTGCTAAAGAGCAGAGAACAAAATAAGAAATCCCAAAGGGGATTAACAAAAGCTCTGAATCAGATCTATGATATTTAAAGAGCCTGAGAATTCAGTCAACAACTCCATGAAGTCTTGTCTTTGATAGATATAGGTAAATCAGATCTTGCAGATAGCAAGTGTGGGCTGATGAATACATAGAGAATAAAGAGTGTAAGGAATGAGGGTCAAATTTCTTTGTTCTCCTCTGCAGTTCGTCAGCAGGTCTGAGAACAAGTACAAGCGTATGAACAGCAACGAGCGGGTCCGCATCGTCACCGGCTGGCCCTCCGGTCTGGCACGAACCTCATCTGAAGCAAAAAAGCACTTTCCTGATAAACTGGAGGGTATGGGTATATATAATAATATCTTTCATACACATGACACTGATATAAAGGTCATTGTATGAGTGTGAAGAAACCAGTTATCTTTCCCATTTACAGCTTCTATGTTCCACTGTATACAAAATTTAGACAGTGTTTGTGACCAAAAGACTGGATTTGCTGGAAGTGCTTGGAGCGCCAAGCCTTCAGAACAGTGTTAGAGTGAACGTCATCTGCTGAATGTATAGCAAAGGCATCCCTGGCATTAGAGAAGGGAGGACCAATACAACTAACCCTGTCAGTTCTTATAAAACACATATTTCTCTCCTGTCTTTCTCCAAAAACTATTGAAGAGGATGCCAGAATATAAATGTTTTGTTTTTCTACTCAGATTTGGATTCCGAAAGCGAAATTAATAAGAGCGTCAGTCTGATCCCCTATAGCTTGGTGAGACCAATCCACTGTGAGCGCAGGCGCCCCGTGCTCTTCACCCCCTCCATGCTGGCCAAGACCTTGGTCCAGAAGCTCCTCAACTCTGGAGGTGCCCTGGAATTCAACATGTGCAAACCAGGTAATGCTCCAAAGGAGGATCACGGCCATATACGTGCGGTGTGAGAAACACGATCTGCAAACACAGTCTGCACACGCACAGGCTGGCATCCACAACTGATAGCGCTCTTCAGATCACATCAGAGTGAAGGGTAGCTATAAATCCTACTGTTTTAAGAGTATCTGAGATATTCTGAATGTTTTTGAAACAGCCGGTGCACATGGTTATGAGATTCTGTGTTTGTGAATGTTATCCCTGTGGATGCTGGGTGGTTGCTAGGATGCTCCTCGGAGACTGGAATGCTGTGAGTGCTCTTTCAGTTTGCATACTGTTTGCATACTGCATATCTAGGCAATGTGAACTTTTGATTAATTTGTGTCTAGTATTTGCTATTATGAGGAATATCTTCCCTAGAGCAACTTTAGGTTTCTATCTAGTCCAAGGCTGTGAAGATCATGCATTTGATGTGCTTGAAAGACTGATTTTCTTCCTTGCTAAGTATTTACTATTAAAGCAATATGCAGTTCTGTGACTGCTGTAGGGCAGGATTGTATAGAGCACAGCATTAAACACAGCTGACGTTTCGTTTTTACACTCCTATTGAATGCCCAATGCATAGTACACAGTCTTACAGCTATCCAGACAAACTGAAAAGTTAAGTATTATAATAAATATCTTCTGTCTTGCAACATAAAAGCTTTGATGCAGCGAGGAAAATCACAAGGGTACCAGTATCACACATTGCAACCTAAGCCAAATTTTTTGAAAGTTTAGACAGAAATGTTGGAACACTAAATCCCTGTTTTAGGAACCTATACCAAAGTGACCTTCTTTTTTTTTTTAGCACTTCTCAGCATCTTCCAGCCCTGAAATGTTACTATGTAATATTAGGTGCAGGACTGGTATTTACTGCTTTAATATGATGCCTTGATAGTGTTCTGGTAATTGCCCAAGGACTCACTGAAGCAGGATATAGCTGAGATATTCAGCTGTGATCAGATTAAGCTTTAATTGAATTAAATGGAAGAAATGAGGCAGCTGTTAGGACCAGCAATGAATTGTCTTCCTCCTCCCTACTCTAACATCCTACTTCAAGTACTATTAGTTTCTTAGGTGTATTGCTGTAATCTTGATCTTGTCCTCATCCACTTCCCTTTCCAGATATTGTAACAAAGGAAGAGTTCTTACGGAAGCAAAGGACAGAGACTATCATCTTCAGCCGAGAAAAGAATCTGAACACGTATGAATGTATTGTACCTGCCAATATCGAGGCTGTCACTGCCAAGGTGCTTAGAGTATCTTGTAGCCCTTCGATAAGTTGTCTGTGAATGCATCTGCAATTTGTGTGTGTCTTTTGAGTAAGAGAAGGACCATTTTACAGTTGCATGTTCTCCCTCTTGTCTGCCTTCAATCTCAGATTTCTTTTTATTCCTCCAAATAGCTTTGATTTCTGCTCTCCTTCCTTTTTCATCCGCAGCCCTATCCTTTTACATTCCTGCTCATTCCTTGCAATGACCTGCAGAGCAGCAGTGAAATATTCTTTCATTTCCTATGCCCCATCCCTTATGCAGTCCCTTTTCACTTCATAAGTATATATAGATGTGTGAGGACCTAAGAGGTACAAGGACCTAGACAAAGGAAGGAGAGCTTAAAACACAGGCATGAAGTTATATGGTACACAGATAACAATGTCAAAGGCAGAAATCTTATGGCAAGTAGAGTAAATTTGATGCACAGCGTGGAGAAAAGGAGAATTCAAGTGATGTTGTTTTCTTTGGCAAGTAGCTGTATCACAGTGTTCTCGCTGAACAAAGGGTGAGTATGTTTGTTTGCGTATATATGTAAAATTGTGTTTTCTCTTACTCCTTATCTTTACGTCAAATCACTTCTACTTAAATCTTCCCAGAAAGCTATTAAACTTAGCTTTTATTTGACTGACTGATTGTAAACCAGTAAGAGGAATTTGGACTTTAAATGTATATTTGATTAAAAGGTTTTAAACCAGTACAATGGTAAATGGAGAGCTATTCAGCTGACCCCTTTATCTCCGAATTCTACTGCCGTGAATGTTCCTTTGTGACACTGTTATGACTTTGTTTTTAGAATAAGCATTGTCTGCTGGAAGCTGGAATAAGCTGCACAAAGGATTTAATCAAAGCCAAGATATATCCTATTGTTCTCTTTATCAGAGTCTCGGAGAAAAACATCAAGAGGTTCAGGTAACATATCAAATCTTTGGAATATTTGATATTCTGTTTTATTCAGTGAATAATTCTAGAGTCCAATAATGTTATCACTGAGAGAAATACAGAACTTCTTCTCTCTTCATCTGGTGCCTCTATGTGCTCTCTTTCCTCCCATGATTCCTCCCTGAATTCTTACAACAGGGGAAAGTCGGATTTCCCCAGACCTCTTTTGCTGTCCCTGGCAGCAGTGAGTGTTGTGGGAGGATGAGGCTGAAGAATATGCGGCTTTCTCCGTGCTCAGCACTCCCACAGCGCTTCCTGCGTGACGCGGCTGGAACGGGAAAGGTCATAAACACCTTCACCCTGTGTTCTGTCCTCCTGAATTGTATCCCCGGAGCACGTACCGGGGGGCAGGAGGAAGGACAGAGCGGGAGTAGCTGTATTCTCCACTGCTTTTATTGCTTGTACATGATCAGTGGAAAATAAATTCTTGATGGGACAGCTGGGACTATGAGATTCATTTAAAATTTAAGCCATTTATTTTTGGACTTTGATCATTTGATACAGGAAACTACTGCCAAAGCCAGAGACTGAGGATGAGTTTTTACGTATGTGCCGTCTGAAGGAGAAAGAACTGGAAGCGCTGCCTTGTCTTTATGCCTCCATAGAGGCAGACGCGTGGAGCAGCATCGAGGATCTTATCCGAACCATAAAAGACAAGATTGGAGAAGAGCAGCGTAAAACCATCTGGATAGACGAAGATCAGCTATAAAGAACAATAAATAAAATGGAGCTCTATGGTTACATAAGGACATAGCAACGCGGAGCGGAGCCTTTCAGAATCCTCGGAGCCGGCGCTGGGCGCTCCCGATTCACCCTCGCTGGCTGGGAACTCTCCATGCTGGCAGGACACGCGTGAGCACTGGAACTGGAGCTGTTTAATAGTGAATGTCTCAGATGCCAGGGAGGTAGGACGTGGAGCAGCACATCTGTGCCTGCTGACCTACCAGCATCAACCTGGGGACAGCAGCTGTACAGCGTGTGAGAAGGACAAAGATCTCGAGTGGGAGCTTGGGGTAATTTATTATGTCAAAATATGGACTGCATTTGCCTCCTTTAACACTGCTGATGAGACCAGATAAGTGGAATCTAGAAGAGATATAGCATGAGGATTGGGCTAAAGGATCTGAAAAGTGATACCTGCCCCACACTCAGCCCACAGGTCATATTCTGAATATATTCAAGAAGGCTGAAGGCTCTTTGGTAGCAATAAAAAGCCTACCAATGATTGCCTTAGCAGCAATGTAATCCTGTTTTTATGTGATAATCTAATCAGAAGGGAAAAAAATAAACATTATTCCTGGCATTAGTTAAAATGACAGTTTTCCCTTCACTTCTAAACACCAGTTTAGAATATTTAACATTTTTACAGGTTTTCTTTCTAGTCCTGGCACTTACAGCAAAGTAGACTCCAAAGTCCCAGTGGCACAACAGATCTTTTCAAGTCTGCCAATGTTTCATTTAGTTTATCTCTGCCTCTGTATTGTATTCATTTATGCATCTCTCAGTTTTTAACATTTTTGTATGGGGGAAATAATACGGTGCCCTCTCTAGACAACAGGTTTCTCTATTTCTTCACTGAAATCTGTATTCCTCTACAACATCATCGCCCGCCAACATGCCTGCTCTCAACAGGAAGGATGGCTCTGAGAAGAGGAGAAGCAGAATTTCATAAGCCAGTAATAGCCCTGAGCCACTTGGTCCTTGACCTCTCTGCCATGATTGACAGAAGAGAGAGCAGTGAGCACCACACTGTGCTGTGGCGAGTGGGGTAACATTTTCCAAAGTGTCTACAGGAATTAGAAGACCACATCCCATTTTCCAAAGTACTTCAGTCCCTGCAGAGTGTAAGTTTCACTGATAATGAGGGGAAGTTGGACTCCTAAAACTCTTAGGACTTTTAACATTTTTCCTCTATACAGCCAAATTGATTCAATAAAAGTGATTGGATAATAATGGCTTGCACAACTGCTGATACGAAGTGCAATAAAGCCTGACCTGTGGTTGAAAAATTGCACATACCATTATCCTTAAGTCCTTCATTCTCTGCCATATCCCTACCTTTTAAGACAAATTTTACAACAAATTTGTCTTTGCTTCTGTGTTCATCCTAAAACCCCCATCTTGGTGCTTCGGGCCAGAATGCAGCAGCTGATAGTACAAAGAGAGAATCCAAGGAAAACATCTGGACTGATTGCCCTCACTAACTAGAGGCTACATTTGTCCTTGAGATGAGCTTCTGCTGTCGTGGATGTCTCTTAGGTGGATCAGCCCACGTTGGCTTCTGTGACTATGCTTTTCTGCTCTTCTTTTACTTTCATCCACATCATTTTTTAAACTAATGGTACCTTCTGGAAATCATTCATGTCAGTTTGCATCTAAACTTTCTGTTGCTGTGTTTCTCACATTATTAATGTTTGAAAGACTGTTCATAGCTAGCGCTTCTCAGAGAAGAGCTGTTTACCTGCCCCATGCCATCTGCGAGCGCAGAGATACTGCTATTTTGCCATATCTTGAAAAACTATGGGCTGCATAGGCAATTTGCAACTCCCTCCAGGGCAAAGAATAACAAGCAGACATAGTGTATGTAGAAAGCATTGCATGTGTCTTCAGAGATCCTCTGTAGCTTAACAAAAAATAAGAAAGTGTCAGTTAGAGTAGTTAAGTCTTCCAAGAGCATTTTCCAGACATTTCTAACATTCTGATAATGTAGCCCTAGGTAAGAGCTGCTTGTGGTTTGTTGGTGCCCATCATTTGGTAGTTTTGAGCCTACAGCTATGCAGGGGAGGTGGTCTTGAGAACATTCTCAGCTGCTTGAACAAAAAAGATCAGGCAGGTCTTCCCATTCCTTCAGGACAGGACTGACTTCTCTGGGGACACAACTCACAGATGTCCGTGTCCTCTGGCTGTGCTGCAGGGATCAATGGCATCTGGTAGAGCAGCTAGACCAGAGACGAGGGATGCAGTGTTGTAGAATGGAGATGAGGGATGCAGTGTCATAGAACAGAGGTGGGGGATGCAGTGTCTCACTGCGCTCGAGCTCTTACCAATCTTCTCTCACCGCAGCTTTAGTTCCTGGGTCCTCTCTACACAGGCCGCAGCTGTGGATCCATTCATCTCACTTAGCTTTAGACATGGGAAAGGTAGGTGCCAAAGCCTGCAGGAGGTTTCTTCCTCAGTGATACCCCTCCGAAGGGCTGTTCATCTGCCCTGCTGTAGATGGCTATCTCAGGATGAGATCAATTGCACTCGGGAACCGCCTGTTTCTTTCCATTGACTATTGGAAGCAACCAAAAAATTAGCTCAACCTTCAGCATTTAGCTTCTAGATCTGTAATACAGGACAGTTAAATTCACCTTATGGGAAAGGTGGGACTAGAGATTGAGACAGAGAATAACAATATATCTAATTATTTCTGAGAAACGTGAGACGAGGGAATGCGTGCAATGGATTTGTCAACCTGGTGGCTGATAGAGGGTTGTGCTTTTCAGTTCGCTTAATGCAAAGCAACCAGGTTCTGTTGAGTGAGGTTCACTGGCAGAGCTCTGTGCGTAGCCTCCATAACCCTCATCCCTCTTTCATTCAGTGGAAAAGGACAGAAAACCACATCCTCCCTTGGCTTCTGGAGATGGCCTCAAAGAGCAGATCTGTAGGTGCAGCAGATGCTCAGAAGTGCACAAGAGCAAAAGGAGCCAATGTCATTTCTACCAGCTGAAGAAGAAATGCTTCTCATCTAGATCCAAATGCCATCCATCTAAACTGAAATAAACCTCTGCATCTTGTGAAATACATTCAGAACTATTTTTTTTTTCTGTAAAAAGGTATACAGGATAGAATAGTAACATGCTTTTAAAAAGTGTTACTGGAAACAACCTTTTTCCTTTAAGAGATCACAAGACCTCATTGGAAGACTTTCAGATGTGGTGTTCATAGGAAAATGTTATTGAAAAATTGGCCACTGGAAAATGTAATTGGGAAATTTTTCAATTGATCGTTCCTCTGTTGGAAAATGTTTTTCCATCCAAATCAGTTTTCTATTGAAATTATTAATTTTGATAATATTACTATAAAACATTTTAAAAAGTATTTCTGTAATGCTGAAATTTTCTTTTTGATTATTTCACAAGTTTTTTACTTAGGAAAAAAGTTACTAAAAATCAGAAAAAATTATTTTTATAATTTAAATATTTTTAAAGCCTCCATTAAATCATCTGAATGAAACACTTCTTGAAGAAAATCTTATATTTGATGTTTATGTATTTTGTATAAATAGAGGTAATTGCTTCTAAGTATCAGATGTGCTAAATTTCTATGATCATGAGGAAAAACAACGTAGATTTGTAATTGTAAATTTACGGTCTGTTTATCCCTACTAGTAAAGTGATGCTGTAAGTTGGAATCATATATTTAAGTCAGGTAAGCTATCATGCAGATATGTCATGCAGTTCAGCACATTTGGGAATTGTCGCAGGTAAAAATTTCATGCAAACTTTATTACACAGAATTTGATATTCTTTTGAAGCAGAGTTCTGGCTGGAGGCTAAGCTGTCAATCGGTCTGTCTGCAGCACGACAGCTCTGGTAGCAGAATTTGCAAGGGAGTAGGAACACACACGGAGCCCTTTTGTCTGCGAACGCTGAACGGAGGTAGTTGACAAAGCTGGAAAGACACCGTGAGAGGTGCCCACAGCCCCTTGTGCCAGGCTGGATTCACGGCCTGAGGTTGGAGGACTTAATAGCCAGGAGGGCTGCGCTGAGGCCTGACCGGCCGGGCATTGCGTGTGACCCGGAGCTGTCGTGGGGGTTACACAGGCCCACGGCCCCGTCACGGAGGGCTGGGACTTTGACGCAGTCGTTACACTGTGTCCTAGAGAGGGGAGAAGCAGGACACGAGCTGGGATTTGGGGTTCCTAGGGGAGCAACGTTGTAGGGGTTTATTTGAATTGAGTCAGTATTAATCTGTTATACTGAGAGGCTTATCCCATGTGTTCCCTCCAGTGCAGTTCCTGCCTCTATCCCATGTGTTCCCTGCAGTGCAGTTCCTGCCTCTGTCCTACCTGTTCCCTCCGGTGCAGTTCCTGCCCCTCTGCTCTGGTTCAGTTCTGAGAAGCTCCACAAGGTCTCACACGAGGCGGCCCAGCCTGGTGTCTGTGTCCTCTACGTCTGTGCATGCACCAGTGTCTGCACACAAAACAGATATTGATCCTTATACATTACACTATGACAGCTTATATTTCAACATAGCGTATTTTGTGCTATGCACCATTAAAAGATACACAAGATTTCAGTCAAGAGGTATGTGATTATTTTCTTATAATTATTTTTCGCCCATTTCTCCTGCTTGGCCTGGTTGCTCTCCATGCCATGTGCCGAGCACACAGACCGGGGGATGGCAGCACCCTTGGGTCACCCTCAGCTCCTGCACCAGAGCCCTGCTCTGTGCGGGGGTCCAGCGCATCAAGGCAAGTGTGTAAAATGGAATCATAATTCCAGGAAAGACCTTTGCTTTATTAGACTTCCAGAGGAAAAAGGGAATCTCTCTTTGTACCAATGCAATGTGCAAAGGCCTTTTGCCTTTGGAGAGGAAATCCTAGTTTGATTTTGGGGGAAGCGTGACGAAGACTGTTCTTTTGCCCTGACAGTCCAGTCACTGCTGTCACCTCCTCATGGGCTGACGTCACCGTGCGAGGGACCTGCCCACACAGGACCTGGTGCAACCGGTGGCATCATCCCATGCGACACCGTCCTGGACAGAAAACCTAGCTCAGACAACGTGGTGCTGCAAGACCACGAAAGGAAATTTCCTTTTCTTGAGCCCCTCTCGGAGCCTCGGGATGAGGTGGGAGCCACGCACTGCAGATGTGGGCCATCCTCAGGGGCCTGCCCTGAGTCTGTGCAGTTTCAATTCTGACCTCTGCCTCTGAGCCTGCACGGATGAGCAGAAGGTCTCCCTTTGCATCTACAGAACAAATGCATCTACGGAATGAATGCATCTTTAGCAGCAATGCTGCTCTACGAAGAAGGGGCTGTTGATGTCTTTCTACAAATGGGGCCTGGGACTGGGATCCCTGTGTCTTGTCCTTGCAGGTCAGTGACACAGCCTGGCTCCCTGCCCGCTGTGCGCTGCTGGCTCCCAACCATGGAACCTGCTCTGGCCTCAAGGCTCCGAATGAGAGTTTAACGCAAGGCTGGCGCCTGCATCAAGGTTTTGGTTGGAGTGGTGGCTGCCTTCGGTGGTGAGATTTCTAGTTTGATTTGAGAGCTCTACCAGTAAGCCAAGTTCAGAACAACAGGAAGCTCATCCACCCTCGCTCCCCGCCTCCTTTTTTCTGTTCCTCTGCTGCAGAAACTTTCTGATGCTCAGATCACAGGCTCTCCGGGGTTAAATGCACCATTAGTCATGGAAAAAAAAAAAAGGAAAAAAAAAAGGGGAGGGGGGAAACAAGACCCTATAGAAGCAGATGGTGGGTGATAGAGAAACTGTCTGGGAGTAAATATCTACACCAGCATGGCTGCTTCATCAGATATTAGCAACAAAAGCTGCTTGACAATTTAGCGACACATGGCAATACTGATTTCCTTCCAAACCATGGACACAGAAGGTCAAAGCTGGAGAGATGATTCCTTCATAGGATCCCCATGGTGCCTGGCCACATAACAAGGGCTGCCAGACAGCAGAGCGCCCGCAGCACCCAGCCCCAGTGCTGCGGTAGCAGCAGCTCAGAAGCTCTTGAAGGATTTTCACAAGTTCTTCCAGCTCCGAGATGAGTCGAGGCACCTCAGGAGGGTGGGAGCAGGGAATGTTACTGCCCCAGGTGAGGAACTGGGCCAAGACCAGGCGTTCCCACCATGGAAAAAAAAATGGGAACGATGGAGAAAATGGGGAGGAAGCTAAAGCAGTGGATGTGCGATGGTAGCAACTTGCTTCTCTTGCTTCTCTTGCTGTTTCCAGGGCAGAGATGGAGTAAAGCTACGATGGAGTCTGGCCAGTAACAGCTACCGCTGCACAAGTGCCTCCTTAGCTGCAGCAGCCATCCTGACCATCCAGGGCCCTGGCAAAGTAGCCGCGCTGGCTATTTGGAAGAATTCCACCTGAAAGCTAAAATGCAACTATTTTTTCCATTAATTTCTCTCGCATTAGCTTTTCTGTCACAAGTTGGTAGAAAGCCCTACCGAGCTGAGCGATCAGATCTTGGACTCGCTTCTTGATGACAAGTCTTTGGTATACCCAATCCTTTGGAAAGTTTTCTTTTTCTGATTTCAAGTTGTCTCTACAACAATTGCGCTTGCAGAAAGTGCACCAATTATGCACATTTCTCCCTGTGTCTCCGTCTGAAATACCAGTGAATCTGATTTTTCCTCACAGAGGAGGTGAGGAACTAACAGGCATCTCAGGCAGAGCCTGCAGTGATTGCGTCTATCAAGGCATTAGCAAAACAGCAAGGAAGCAGGAACGGGCACTGGAGCTTGCATTTAATCCCACCGCTCTCACACCAGCCGTCAGGGACTAAGTGCTGACAAGGTGCCCAAGAAGGGACCGTCACATCAAGACGGTGCTGAGGAAGGGCCACAACCAGGCAACGTCCTCCCTGGCCACAGCAGGGTCCAAAATGTTCAGAAAAGAACAAAACATGGCAGGAAATAACTAACTTGTGATTAGAGGAAGCTGAGAGATTTATTCCTGGCATAAATGGACACAATTACATTCACTTTCAGTTTGTCTAAGTAAGCACCAGAAGCAACTAAGCTGATCAGCCCTGATCTAGTCTTGTAGCCTTGTAGGAACATGGCTGTATTGTTAAAATAGTGCTTTAAGAGACAGTTTCTGGTTGTTGCCTTCACTTGTTCACCCTAGAGAAAGCCATTGGGGTAAACTTGTATTAAATGAATGCCTGGTTCTGAGTTAGCATTTACAAATATAACATCAAACCAGTGGCCTGCAAGAGCATCTCTCCCAAAGAGCTCTTCAAGCTGGGGTAATGGTCTTTTCCCTGAAGTAGCCGAGCCGCTTTCCGAGGACAACGGCTCATGCTGGAGAGCTTTGGCTTCGCCCCGAGCGCGGCTGCAGCACTTCCCACCCCGTGGCTGGTGCTGAGCTGATTTGCTCATTATCAGATGGCTGTTTATTAATCACAGCAGTAACAATGGGACACAGCGGCTGGAATACAGCACAGACGGTGCTTCGTTTGTTCCAATTGATTTTCCTATCACATTTTATTACCACTATTTACTTTGTGCGCCTCAGAAAGACTGAACCGCACTGTGCAGGAGGGGTGTGTGGCTGGATTTCTCTTCTCCTTTGCTTCTGTTTCTGTAGTGACAGTCAGGACGGTAGGTTCTCCCACCAACCAAGTCATGCCCTTCTCTGACACGGAGATTTTCTGGTAACTAGGCTCCACCAATGTGTTAAGTCCCATATGGGAGGCCCTAGGGAAATGCACAAGCATTACAGGTGCTGAGCACTTCTGAAAATCACTTCTCCAAGATGAGGTGTTTTAAAAGCTCTCAGCACCGATCAGAAGGGTTACTGTGGCTAAAGCAGGTAGAAGGCACAATGAAAGAGCATGCAGAACATTCTTACACACTGGCTTAGGTGGTTTCAGGATGAGCTTTTGTTTTTCAGTAATCAAGTAATGAAGATGGCAATGATTATACTTTTTTTTTCCCTGCTTCTTCCTAATTCTTTGCTAATTGATCACCATTTGCAAGCTGGACCTCGCGGACTTCATCCAACACATCTAAAACATGAAGGGAGAACAGATGAGTGCTGTCAGGTAGTATGCAGTGGTTTATGGAAGATGATATTTGAGTCGACAAAAACACAAAGGACGGCAGCTGTTGTAAGTTTACATTAATAATCTCTTTTCCATAAACAAGGCTCACTGAGAAACAAAAGCAACATAAGAACTTTGCCTGAAAAAACTATAAAAATCTGTGATGAAACTCCCATTTTCAGTGCAGTTATGATTTCACTCTAGAGATTTATAAGCATTTGAGCTATGTTTATTCTGAAGTTGCCCTATTCAATGAGTACAACAGGAAACTCATGCCTGGCTGCAGCTGTAGGTGGAAGACACAGTTGCGTGGGGAGGTGACGAAAACATATGTGAAAATAGAAGGTTTGTTTTCTACATTAATTGTATAATTAGCCCAATTCAGGAGTGAGGAGGCAGCTAGCAGGTGGCAAGGGCATGTGTCATTGACAAAGTTCAAAACAGAAACCACAAATAGTCAGCTGAGCTGAAAGTTTCCATGGGTCCTTGCTTGTTACTGGAAATGTGAGGGTCCCTCATGCAGGAATTTCTCTCTTATCACGTGTTTTATCTTGCTGAGAAGCTGCTTTGCACTGAGCGATGCCTGTTGGGCGAGGGCGAGTGCTCTGAGCCCCTCTCCCAAGCACATACAGAGGCTTTTTGGTGGTCCCACGTTGCATGATTAGAACAGCTCTGAACTTGTCTGATGCATCCTTATCCTCCTCCGGCTGGTGACCTTGAGCCGCACCAAATAATTATTTTCTCGCTAGGCTTTTGGAGTAGCAGTCGGAGTAATTGAATGATTGTAAAATGGGCCACTAGGCTGCTACGGGTTAAGTGAAAACTAAAATGATGCCATCTACAGGAACATTTTTTGGTCGCACTTAAGGTCACAGTTAGATAAAGGGTTAGGAAATATCAGTCTGAGGCTGTAGCAGCAGAAATGGGTTTCTGCAAGCGCAGCTTGTGCGTGTCGGGAAGGGAGGAGGTAGAACAGGGAGCACATGCAGATAGTGCTGGTGGATTTAACCTGGACTAGGTTCAGATCCATGACAAGGTTCGGTTAATCGGAGTGGAAACATTAAGTATCTTTGTTAATCTAGTGCTGTTTCACTCACACTGCAGTATTATTGTCATTACAGTTATGTGATTTGCTGTGTCCAGCCTGGATCACATTCAACAGCTGTATTTCTCAAGATTATTTTTCTACCCTTTCTTATTTAAATGCATTGATGCCAGTAGAAGTTTTACAGCTTTTTAAAAGAATGATGTCTCCCTCCAGTGGTGAAGTGCCCATAGTTTTGGTTTCCAAAATCAATTGGGTGACCATGAGTCTGTGAGTGTGAATGACAATGCACTTAGATGTGAAATAATTTTGTGATACATACAAGAAGAGAATGTCTCTTCGTTATTAGCCACTTATTTTATAGCGTTTCTTCCAGTAGTACTACCCTGTGTCTTTGACAATCCTCTCTTACACAGCAAATCTCATTTTAATGCTCTTCATTCCAACAACAGTTTAATATGTGCAAATAGCACTGAAGTCCCACTGGATTTGCATGCTTTTCTGTTTCAGAAGTTCCTACCTGCTGAGTCCGGAGCTGCAGGATAAAACACTGTTGTGTCCCAGTGCCCTGTAGCAGGAGGTAATAAGGTGCTTTAGACATTTTGTAGAAAAATCTCCTTGGAATAAGCTGGTTTCAGTTCAGAAGAGACGTGCTGAAGCCCTGGTCACCTTGGAACATTTAGCCTTATGATACGTGCGCACTGGGGTGAGAAGATATTGATTTAGCTTCTGTAAAAATAAATGTAAAGTCAAAAGCTGAAGCATTTTTAGCACCTCTCCAGTATTCTGCCTGATTTGTGTGACCCCAGTTGCAAGCCCCAAGTCTTCCACTATCTTCCACTACTCATGGCCCATCTTTCTATTCATCCCTGAGTTACAAAACTTGTGTAGCCTGCACTGTGAGCCCAAGTGCTCCCTTACATACATTTTGTACTCCTTACTGTGAGTTCTTTTTCGCTATTTTCACTTTTCCAAATCAGATACGAACTTCACAAACCACTTCTCCTAATGTCCCTATGTCTTAGTGTAGCCCAGTAGAATTACTTAGTGCAAAAAGTGAAAGTATATCGAGAAAGCAGAGTAATAACTCAAAACTTGGCAGAGCATTGTTTTATGTAAACCAGTATCTAGTGCGCACTTCTCCTAATGTCCCTATGTCTTAGAGTAGCCCAGGAGAATTACTTAGTGCAAAAAGTGGAAAGTATATTGAGAAAGCAGAGTAATAACTCAAAACCTGGCAGAGCATTGTTTTATGTAAAGCAGTATCTAGTGCAAATTATTCTTTTCCTTTCAATAATGAATAATCACTCAGTACTGAAACTGGAAGACTTATTCAGAAAGGGTCTGAGTGATCACTCACTTATGATATGTGAGCAATGCTTGGAG